CAGCACACGGACTTCATCAGGAAACAACAAAACCTGGAGCCTTTCAACTGTTTCTCCTTGTTTGTGTTGGATTTTTTTTTTTTTAATCAATTTAGATTTGATGCCCGGCTCTGGTGCTGAAAAACAAACTCTTCATATTTTCACCCAGTTGTCACCGTGAAGATTCTGACGGTTCGGCCGGTCCATTCTCAGATCCACGGTTCATGAAAATCTACCTCTCTGGAATGTGGGCAGCGTGATTTGTTTTCTCTGCTGATGGCAGGCCGCCACGTGAAAAGGTAAAAGTTGAAAACCCCCGTTATGTAAGCGCCAGGCACCAAATTCAATCTCGCACCAATGTGAACCAGATGTGGGTTTTCCTGCAGAAGCTGTTGGACAACCGCACTATTGTTTCCAGGCGCTGGGCCGCTTCACCGCTGCTTTAGTAGGAGGTGAAGCAGCTGCCAATTAAAGAGTCGACAAAACATCCAGGAAACTGAGGCCATGCCTGGAACAAACACCTTCACGTGAGGCAACAAAACTGGGAAAATGTTGGATTTTTTGAAGCCGGTTTTGGACAGTTTTGGTGTCATGGCCACATGTAGTCCGACCACAGACCGATCCCAGGAGAGCAGTCAGAACATCAGACCAATCACAGACCAATCACAGACCCCCAGGCTGTACGTACCTTCCCTGCATAGTGAATGATGCAGAAGTCAGCTTTGTCCTTGAGCTGACGTGGCTTCTGGAACTTGGTGTGTGTTCCCTGCTCCTGCAGAACCTTGTCCACAAAGGTCTTGTCTGTGGCCTTGGGGAACCAGCACTCCTCGTCCAGCAGAGCCAGAATACCAGGAGGATTGTTCTGTGGAGAGAGAGATGGAGGGGAGGGGGGGGGGGGGTAAATAAATAACAAGGAGGCCACATGTAAAACACACACCCGTCCACACACACACACACACACCGGCCTCTCGATGAGGTCGATGCAGGGCTGCAGGTCCAGTCCGAAGTCGATGAAGCTCCACTCGATGCCCTCCCTCTGGTACTCCTCCTGCTCCAGGATGAACATGGTGTGGTTGAAGAGCTGCTGCAGCTTCTCGTTGGTGTAGTTGATGCAGAGCTGCTCGAATGAGTTCAGCTGAAAGAAAAAACAAAAACAGACAAGCCGTGAGTCACGTCGTCATCAGCTGACATCAGAGGCGTGTCCAGCCGTCGAAGATCTCACCTCGAAGATCTCAAAACCAGCAATGTCCAGGATCCCGATGAACGACGCCCCCTGGCGCTTGGTCCTGTCCAGGGCCTTGTTGATGCGGTGGACCAGCCATCTGAAGAGACGCTCATACGTGGCCTTGGCCAGAGCTTCGACAGCAAAGTCCGCCTGCGATACAAAAAAAAAAACCTCAGGAATGGTCAGGAATCAAACCCACAACAGTTATCAGGTAATTGTATGTAGTTCAGAAATCTTCAACTGGCGGCCTGTGGCCCGAAACCGGCCCACCCAACCATCCAATCTGGCCCAAAATAAACATCAAATAAATAAAATAAGTTTTATTTCATTTTCCTTCAGGGTCCAAGTTCGGTACCTCACCTGTTCTTTGGTCTGTGCCTTCTGAACGTAGTCCCGCCCCACCTTGATCCTGGGGGTGAGGATGGCTCTGGTGAACTCCATCACATTCATTCCCAGCAGGTGGCAGAGTTTCTGTGCAGCTGGAGGAGAGAAGGAGCTGGAGGTCAGAAAGAAACTGACCCTGGAACAGCTGACGTACGGGCTACACTGACGTGTACGTGTGTGTGTGTGTGTGTGTGTGTGTGTAGGACGGTTACCTGTGTTCTCAGGCATGGAGGCCTGGTCCGTGTTCCTCTCCTTCTTGAAGAGAATATTCCCGAACTGCAGCACCGCAGACACCACCTTCAACATGCCTGGTGAGGAGAAGGAGACACTCGGTTCACAGCCTGAGGGGGGCGCTACACTCAAAACACAGCCGTGGGACTGCAAACTCACAGACAATCTCGTCGTGGGTGAAGCTCATGATGTGCATGGCTTCCATGGTCTCCTGGAAGTTCTCCTTATCCTGCTGACCGGGGATGGGGATGTTACCGTTGGACAGGAACCGGTAGTTGTTGAAGCCTTCGAGGAGCAGGTCGGCTGAAGGAGACAAAGGACACAGACAAAGAGAAGATTTGTACGAGTCTAGAACGTAGAGTGAAGCAAAATCCTCTGAACACCTTCAGCATCATCAACGAGCTAAATGAAAAGTTAGTGAGAGGGATGTGATTGGCTGCTGCAAACCCAAACCACACTTCCTGCTCGGACCTCAGAACCTCGGGGGGTCAACAGTCAGACACTCACTCCGTAGATGTTCTCCTGCTCCGGCCAGCAGGCGGTAGAAGATGTGGAAGGTCCTCTCGTCCTTGGCCTGTCTGATGGCCCTCGACTTCTCCAGGAGGTCTGAGACACGTCACGCGTTAAGGAGGCGAGCGTGAAGTCACGACGTGAAAACCTTTCTGTCCGATTTTGTCCAAACAATATCCCTAGTTTCAACCAACCAATTTATTATGGCAGAGATGAACTGCGACTTATAGACATTGTGTTGCATTGTATTGAAGAGGATACAAGTCTCGATGTTGGCGCCAACGATGTAGCCTGTGACGTCGAAGTTGATTCTGATGAACTTTCCCTGTAAAAAAAACAGAAAAAAGAAAAAAACCAAAGTGAAAGTTTGGTTAGAACGGCTGCTGAAACCATGCAGAAACACCACAGGGTCGTTAGACTGACTGATGATGTCATGGAGCGTGTGTGTTTATGAGTGTGTGTGCTATTATTTTAAATCACCAGTGGGCAGTAAAGGGTGAAAATGTCTATATTAGGGAACAGTTAAACATCGACCGAATCAGGAAGAATCCCAGACTCGGCGGTGGTTTCTTCACCATGAAATGTTAATGTGAAGAATCCCAGACTCGGCGGTGGTTTCCTCACCATGAAATGTTAATGTATGAAACATTTGAGTTGTTTTTTTTTTTGAAAAATCTGGAAAGATAAATCCAACATTTTAAATCTAAAGCATTTAAAACTAAACATATTAAAATTAATTGAATTGATTGTTAAAAAGTAAAAAAAACACAAACAAACATTTGTCTAATATCTTTTCAGAGATGATTGACTTAAACAAAACAAAAAGTAACAAAACACGTGGAAACAACTAACAACTGTATAAAACACTGAACCCTTTGATTTTTACTGGACTTTAACTTTGACTATTTCCTGTCACAGCAGGAAGTGTCTGGTCAAAAAAAAAAGAAAAGAAAAACATTTGCAGGTGGACAGATGGTTCTAAACATTTGAAGAACTTCCAGTCAAATTCCACATGAGGTCAGTAATGATTATAAATAAACAGTCGTCAACTGAAGTGACGACACCAACAGTGACTAATAATGAATCCAGTTAAAGCTTCAAATCCCAGTTGTGGTTCATTAACCTCCAGCATCACTGAGAAGATGCTGTTTTTTTTTTCCTCCAAACTTTTCCAAACTACTAAGGAAGTTTGAACTCACAAATCGTGACGAGTTGTCATTTTTCACCGTCTTTGCGTTGCCAAAAGATTCCAGGATGGGATTGGCTTGGAGAAGCTGGCGTTCCAGCTCACCCTGAGGAGGGAGACGCAAGAGTGTCAGTCAAACAGGAATCAGGACTTTTTATTTCTTTAGTCTGCAAACACACAAACGTGCAGGCAACACAGACACACCGTCAGGCAAAGATGAGTTTTTAGTTTGTTAAACTGCGAGGTGTGGCGAAAGCCGTGGCTCTCGGAGTGTGTTCAGTCATCGGTGGGTTTGGTCTGTCGGTCCACAGACTTCACCACAGACATACTGACTCCAACGACGGCTTCTACCAAAAACGTTTTATTTGTTGTTGTTGTGTCGGTCCACAGACTTCACCACAGACACACTGACTCCAACAACGGCTTCTACCAAAAAAGTTTGTTGTTGTCAGGAACGTTGATTTATCTTGATTAATTGTGATGTTTTTTTTGTAATTTGATGAATCTGATTAAAAGTCTGAATCATTAAAAGTCCAAAAAAGCCAAGAGAAACGTGCAGGAACAAAAAGATATTTCTGTCTGGAAACAAAGTCCAGATTTTTTAGAACCAAACTTTAACAGATTTTATTAGCACTGACTCAGAGTCAGAGCGTTAGCCAACACTTAAATGTTGGACACGACCATCCTCCCCCTTTATCTCAGAGATTCCGACTAACTCAGTTCAGCGCCGACATCGCAAACACGAATACGTTTCATCTCTCCCTCAGTGAGCGACAGAAAAGTCTCCTCTCCTCAGCTGCGCTTTATCTCTTTTCCACTACCTCACCTCCTCTCCTTCACCCGTTTTCCCGCCCTCCTTCTCTCCCGTGCCACATCCACTCCGTGCCTCGGTCCCTGCGCTCACATTCCTCTGGCCCGTTCCCAGGAGCAGCGGTAACGCAGCTTTGAGGAGGTCAGTTTGGATGATGTGTGCTCGGGGAGGAGGACGGGAGGAGGCGCTGACTTACAGCCTCTCACTCAGCGTCATACACCGACAGTAACCAGACTGTCTGTGTCTGTGTCTGTGTCTGTGCTCAAACCCTGAGGTTATTTGACTCCCCGTGATTCCCCGGACATTCGATTTAAATCAAACTGTTCCTGAGGGAAGAACAAAAGAGTAATTTTAGAATGTGTCAAACCGGCCAAAAAAAAAAAAAAAAATCTCACATTTTCCAGGGGATGAGGTTGGAGTTGGCTCAAAGCGTGGGCTATAGTTTTTATTGGTGTTACCTTCGGTATAAAACATCTGTGATGAACAGCATCTGGGTTTGATTTTTTTACCTGAGCAGCAAAAGTCTGCATCCAGATGTGACGCAAGGGAGGATTTAGTGATCGGAAACATATAACAACTAGAACAGAACAGGCCATGCTACACACACACACACACACACACACACACACGCGCGCGCATGCATCGAGTAGAGAAACAGAAACATGCATTCATTAAGATGTTAAGGTCTGATCCAGGACATCGACATTTGACTTGAATCATTTTCTAATTCCATTTTGCTGAGACACAGACGGAGGTTTTGTTCGGCCGTGGTCTGAACTTCACACTGTTTTTTTTCCCAATAATTTGTTTTCTTTTTTCTCTTCGTGTGTGTGTGTTAAATAAAACACGTTGTTTTCTTTTTTCTCTTCATGTGTGTGTGTTAAATAAAACACGATTTGTTGTGACGAAGCCAAACGAAGTCTCAAACAGAGCCAGCGAAAACAAAGACCTCGTAAAGAAAGAAGGACGTGCACGTCTACACATACAACGACAATGATGACTGACACACACACACACACACACACACACACTCTTCTGGTAGAGAGCAGGAGATACACTTGCCTGTAGCTTGAATGCTTTGGGAGATTCGGGCTGTTTGTTACGAACAAACAAATGCAAGGGTTAAAACCTGAAGCGCTCATCGTGTCAGACACAAGCCATGGGAACAGTTAGCTTAGCTTAGCTTAGCAATGGCTACACTCAGGCAGTGACCGATGAGCATACAGTGACAGTTCAGATTAAATCAGGATTAAACTGACGGTGAAGGGAAAACATGAAAAGAGAGGAAAAGCTCCGCTCACTTTCTGGCTGCGTTAACTATGCAGAAAGTTCCATTTGACTTTGATGTTAGCCAGTAAATCAGAGTCCGATGACGGAGCCCGACTCACTGTCCTGGAGTTAACATTTCTCACTTTTCTGCCAGAAAGCTAACGAAAACATTTCCCAGCAAATTACTAACAAACTATCGATCAACGCTACGTTAATTACACATGGAGGTCATTGACAGTGGGGGGGGGGGGCTCTCACGGGAATGTTGTGGTCTTTGCGTCCTTTGTGTGACGAGGCGACGTGGGCCAGGTACTGGATGACCTTCTTGGTGTTCTCCGTCTTTCCAGCTCCTGATTCGCCTCTGGAAAAAAAGAACAGAGAGCGAAGATAAACACGACGACGACCAAAGAAGTGATGATCGGCCGTTTAAAAAAAAAAAAAAAAAAAAATCTGGTTATGATTCTGTGTTTACAAAAAATCTTTTTTATTTCTTATCCAAGAGGTTCTTCACACGAAAGGAATTTAAACATTCATCATCGAACATTCAACAGCAGAGATGAGTTATTTTCATGGATGTTGTTGTTGTTAAATAATGTGTCTGATTTGATCAAAGATGACGTTTTCCAACAGGTTTAGAGGTGGAATAAACCAGATTTATTTTCTAAATCCACTCTCTCCCCTGTCGTTTGGTTTTACTGGAGAGCCCTGCGGTTGGGGCTGCGGTTCCCGCCTCCAAAGGGTTTTTTTTTGGGCTGCCATTCATGGACGCTGAGCTCAGGCAGGACCATCCAGCGCTCCCACACTCAGGTCCCAGAGACCAGAAAACCACAGCCAGCATCACTATATCCAGCTGCATACCAGTGGCTTTAGACTAGCTGTCAATTAGCTCAGCAGTTGCAGAGGAGACTACAGTTTTGGCCGGGAGGCGTTGGGCGAGTCCTCGAGTGCACGGTGCGGGCGTAGCGACTGAAGTCGGAATAGTTTGGCCTTTCTCACAACAGATCATCTATGATCATCGACGTTGGGGTTTTTTTTTCCCCGCGCCTCATATGCATCGCTCTGATGATCATGTGGTCTCAAACTGACCACTCAGAGCAGAGGCCTCGGTCGCTGACTTAATGTCTGGAACATGGACAGATGTCGCAGCTCTAAGACGTCCTGACGTCAGAAGCTGCTCAGTAGCGCCACATAGGTAGACGTGCGATTATTTAGGTTTGAAACTACCTTCTATTTGACCTCAGGGGGGCGTGTGGAGAGAAAAAAAAAGAGGACGGTAAATTAAGCAGACTGTGTTTGTTGAAGCTCCATTTCCACCAACAGAGGGCCAAGACTCTAAGATGGATTACACAAGACTTTGTTGGCAGCGGCGGCTGCAGCTACACACAACTCCACTGTGGCACCGAGTCACCGGTCGTCATAGTGGATAGAGGCAGGGAACCAAACCACACAAAACTCTTAACTCCCTCACTTTTGGTCAGATGTGCTGCACAAACCGACCAAAAAAATAAAGCACTGAAGGATGATGGGAAGAGGCCAAGTGCCCCAGAACAGGGAGAGAAGAACGGTTGAGGTGGAGATGGATTTGGTGCAGGACAAATTAAAAGTAATAATTCTTCTGGATTGTTCTCGTGGTTTTCATTTTTACCTCAGAGCTGAAGGCTTTAATATTAGGAACCTCGAACAGGAAGTAGTCGTAAAGGCTTCACCCAGCGACAGCTCTGTTCTCTACGTAGCTCACCTTGTTGCTGCATCAGCAGCCTTAAAACGGTCCACCTTAAAATAGATGTAACCTTAAGAAGGAAGAGTTTATAGAGATTTAAGATCAGGATTACTCACGTGCAGAGGATGGATTGGTCCTCGCGATCTGGGGAGAGAAAACAGGAAACGGAGTCAGTATCCTCCAGGCGTTTAGCTCTGACCACAACCTTCACAACAGGACAGAAACACTGACATCAGTGGATCGACCTGGTAGTTCACATGGAGGAAATCAAGTGTTTGGATATTTAAAAAAAAACAAGTTTATCTTCTTTAACTCCTTGCACAATTCTCCAAACCCAGGCTGCGCCTCAGGCGGACCAGAACCTCGGCTCTGACACGTCTGATCACAGAACCAGGTCCAGATGATGACATTCCCCGCGTCTGCCGAGGAGTGTGACCTCTGACCTTAAAAAGTTTTTTCCCTGTGAACTTCAAAGAACGACAGAGACCAGAACCCACAGGGAACCGAGAACTGAGAAACTCTAGACTCCTGCAGCAACAGTAGCTGCTGAATAACAAATATATTTCACACCTTACACACACTGCGGTAGTTGACATTAATAACTATATTCAGTAACATATTCTTATTGCTTTGTTAGAGTAAAAGACGAATCAGAAAAAGACAGAAAACTTACTTCAAACACCTCGCTCTTGATATTTGATTATTTGCATTTAGAATCTTTTGATTTCTAGACCACATTAAATATATCGAAAATCAATGATGTTTCCAACAGGAAAAAAGCTCAGACTAGCCAAAAAAAAAAATAAGTTCAGTTCAGAAATGTCGAAAGAAAAAGCAAATGAAAAAAGGTAAATAATTAGCAACAGTATAGCAGGATGCCAATGTGGGCCAAAAACCACCAGTGTGTGTCTGGAAAACAACAAATCCTTTAGCTTTAGCTCAGCCATAATCAGCCATTCCCCGCGTCTGCCGAGGAGTGTGACCTCTGACCTTAAAAAGTTTTTTCCCTGTGAACTTCAAAGAACGACAGAGACCAGAACCCACAGGGAACTGAGAAACTGAGAAACTCTAGACTCCTGCAGCAACAGTAGCTGCTGAATAACAAATATATTTCACACCTTACACACACTGCGGTAGTTGACATTAATAACTATATTCAGTAACATATTCTAATTGCTTTGTTAGAGTAAAAGACATGAAATAAGTTGTATTAAATACAAGATTTCAATAAAAGTTGTCTGGAAATATTTCCAAGAGCAAAAGAAGGGAAGTTGGGACTATATTTGATTTAAAAATCATTTAGAATTGTTAAACAGTTTCAATCAATAAACTGATACAAAAAACAAAAAACATCAAACCACACTACGATCCCATGTGTTTGCGACCGTTCACTTTACGATGATGACGTAGCCGTTGAAGCCTGGCTCAAAGTATGTGTGTGTGGAGTATGTATGTGTGTGTGTTGATGCTGTTTAGATGAACCTCATGTTGACTTCCGTAGGACCTTAGTGAAGTCTGGGCCGAGACACGCAACCCTGCGTCACCTGAGCGCAGGACGAGCCTCGGAGGAGAACCAGCTCAGCTTCAAATGATTAGACAGAGAACAGTTTCCACGCGTGACCTCACCGCTCGGAAATTAACACCTGATCACAATCCACCGCTGATGAAGAAAACCTGCTGCAACTCTGATATTTACATTTACATCCCAGCTGCAGCGGGCCACGGTTCCCTCCAGCGCGGCTCTGGTGGACGTTATAAATACTGCATGACAAGTAGATCTGTGCTGAAAACAATCCTCAAGTGCGGAGGAATTCAGCCACTGGCAGCAGTTAAAAGTTTGAATTGTTTGAAATGTTAGCGACACCAGCAGCTGTGGATGACGTCGCGGTGCCGTCGACGAGAAACGACTGGCGAGAAACAAAGTCTGGCTGAGCCTGAGAGGCTGAGACAGATTGGCTTTTTTTAAAAAAGAAAAATTGCTTCAATCCTCCTCCAATTGTAAATAAAGTGGGAAAGATTTTTCCACATAAGTGACACACACACACACACACACCACTGTGGACTCCCATCTCCTCTAGTCTACAGCTCATCATTAGACTCTTGTTTTTCCCGCTCGGCCCTGACGACCTCCTCTCATCACCTCCTCACGGTGTCACACGTCTCTGATCGACAATCACCGCTTCTGTTCTCAAACATAACGACCTCAGGACTTCTGTCACGAACGAACTGACGCATCAGGAAGAGAGAAGAAAAATACGTCAAGAGATTTCTCCATGTACCGTACAGCAGTGGTCGCCGACCTCGGTTGAACCAAAGACCAGAGTCTGAATGACCTTTGACCTGTTGTTCTGAAACATTGACAGATTATCTTTGAATGTAAAGGGATATGACTGGATTCTTTTTGAATGAAGTAAATCAGTGAAACTGAAGTACATTTTTTTAAACCGTGTCCCACTGAGGCCCTGGTACCAAACGACCTGTGGACTGGTCTGGTCCCCGGACCGGGGGTTGGGGACCCCTGCTATATACCATGACATCTGCAATATGTACAGCTTGACCTCAGATAACCTCTTGACCCACGAGTTGAAGACTACAATAAACTCCTCCGTCGTCTGTACAGCTGTGTAGGATGTAAAAAACAAACAAAAAAAACAAAAAACTGTACAGCTGTGTAGGATGTAAAAAACTTTTTTTTTTCTCTTCTTAAATTAACTCCAGTCAATATTTTAATAATTGAAAAAAAAACATATTCAGTCAAAATTCAGTCATGGCCCAGACGTGGCCCACGGGCCGGATGTTTGACAGTATTAATTACACTTCCTTCACATCATGCAGCCGTGGCCTTGGACTCTTCGCAGTCATTACAACAGCGCCACACACAGGTGACTCCAGGCTGCCTGTCAAACACGGCAGGAACCTCGTTTTACTGCTTATTATTTATTCCCCACGAGGATTAAACAAACCCTCATCTCTCACATTCCACAGCATTCCCTCTCCCCTCTACCTCCACCTTTACAAAAAACCCCTCCCTCCTCCTCCACCAGGGTCTAATTTAACCTTGTAAACACCCCCCCCTCCCTCCGTTGTTCAGACTGTAACTGTTGCAGAGAGCTCGGTGGGCAGCAGCTCTCTCCAGGATACGGTTTTCAAATATGTAGAGGAAGTCATTAGTAATTCATGGACTAAAACGTGAAACAAAAACAGAGCAGATTTCCTCGGATCGCCCTGTTGGTCACAGTCGTTTCTCCTTGGGTTTAATGAGTCCGAGGGAGGAGGAAAAACTTCTCCAAGCTGAGAAGATCTGAGGTCTTCTGACCACAACCACCAAGAACGTTCTCCACCCCCCCCCCCCCCCCCCCCCCCCCTCTCCCCCCCCGGCTGCAGCTAAACCTCCGTGTTCAAAAACATTCTTGAGGCGAGGATCATAATTATGACCATTTATTTTAAATGGTCTACGACGACTCGCAGTTTAAACCGAAGCTCTGAGCCGCAGATTGTGCTGTGAAAGACGTGAACCTCGGACCAGGACCTTCACTGTCGGTGCGAGGCTGAGATTCCCACACCACGACCTCCTATCAGGAGAAACCATCGCCGCGTTTGTCCCGTCATGTCGTCACTTCTGATGAATGAACCTCTGTGTCCTCCTGCGTTAGAACCCTGTAACTCCGCCTCCGAACTCTGATTGGGTGGGAGTGGGAGGGGCCAGGAGACGACGGCAGCTGCGTCTTTTTATCGTCTAAATTCAGATGTTCACAATTTGTTGATTCACAGCCGGTGGACGAGCTAAATGAGCTGTAAATGACCTGAATCTGTCACTCACTCACACTGATAGTGTTGAGTTAAAAGTTCAAGCTGTCGCTGAGGGAGCATGACCTTTGACCTTTGACCGTCTGACATTCGTAAAAAATGTAATTTGTTGTTTTTTTTTTTCCTGGAACATCTACAGTCGCTGCAGCGGTTAGCGCTGTAGCAGTTAGCGCCACCTCCAGCCATTAGAACACACAAATGACAACACGACGGACGATGACGAGTTCAAAAACCTCGGGTTCTAAGAGCCGGGACATTCCGTGGACTGGTGTCCAACCAACGACACCGTTCTCCACCTGATTTTTTTTGTAATAATGACTTTCTGTGTCATTTTTCCTCAACGCAAAACCCAAACTCCCAGAATTCACTTCATACAAGACGTGCTACAGCACAGAGTGGAACTTCTAGAACCATGGCAACGCGCCAACCGAAGAGAGGCGAGAACGGAGGGGGGGGGGGGGGGGGGTAGGGGAGGGGGAGGGCAAAGCCAGTGAGTCTCGCCCTCATAAACTATGCTGATGTCTACTGTATGGCACGACTTCCCTGGAATACCAACAGACCCACATGGGACATGGAGAGTGAATGGAAAACAATGTAAAGTGGGCCACATGTGGTCATTAAGGTCCCGAGAGAAAGAGAGGGAGGGAGAGAGAGAGAGAGAGAGAGACACATTCCCAGACAGTGGAAGTTACCAACAGTCCTGGAAGTGCTGCGGTCTGCGGGTGTCTGGAGTGTGTAACTGTCACTTTGAAGCCTCCAAACAATTATGATAAGACGCAAATTAAAACACACTTGAGCAGCGCCGCGCAGGAAAACACACTGTGTACGACATCGTTGGACAGCAGTTATGACAAGGTCTCAGACTAACGGGCGGTTAATCAGCGTCCAGTATGGGAACGCCGACGGTGACATCATCCACTCTGAGTCTGCTGCACCGGCTGTTTATGACCGTGTCATGTGACGAAAAAAAACCTCTTCTTCACCAAGGACACTTTTTAAAAAAAAAAAGTTTTAAAGGAGAGCTCTTTTACATTTAACCGTTTCCAGATGTCCAGTAAAATCAACAGCTCCTGCTATAAGTGGAATTCTGAGGATTTGGGATTTTTTTAGAACAAATCTATTTGGGTAAAATAGAATGTTTATCATTTATTTTAGAAGTTCCCGCAACCGTTACAGCCTCATGAAAAACTGTCAAACATTTAGTTATTATTGATGTTAGTTGTTATTATTGGACGTGTCCAGACCAGACTCTGATTATTAGCAATAAAAGTCAAGACATTTCGCGGTCGAAGCGTTTCTGATTCGTGAGGTCAAATCCCGACATCGTTCAGGGAGCT